TGAATATATGCGATATAGAATTAATACTTATAAAATGATAATAATTGTTCTTTACTAATAAAGCAAAAAAAAAAAAAAACTGTTAAATAAATAAAAACATTTATCTGATTTATAACTTTTATAATGCCTGAAATCAATAACCGTAATTTACGATCTAAAAATTCTTCAGTAGCCTCCCTGAATTTAAGAGATATATCCAGAAAAATGTCGCTACCAAAAAATATATTTGGAAATAGTTGCAAAATTGTCCAATTATATGTGCTTATGTTTTCATAATTTCTCAGTATATGATCTAAAATATAAACTCGAGCAAGCAATAAACACTTGCTAAATCGCAAAGCATAATTATGATTACTTTCCGATGCGGTGTTTGTCAATCTTGGAAGCACGTGCTGGATCATATTAACTAAGTCAGTTGAGCCCGGGTTTTGCTTCGTTATTCCCGTATAATAAAATCCATATCTTTTACACAACAATTCGAACAAAGTTCTAGTTTTACAGAACCTGAGGTTCCAACACAACTAAACATTATTTAATCTGAGAAGCCTTCTCTAACTCAAGAGTATTGGTTATTCCACCATTTTCATCTACCATAGAAAGATTATGTACAAGGAAAGAAGGCCGAGGCTGAAGACATAGCGGATTTAACGGAAGATGGAGATTTCGAATTTTTTTAAAATACGGATGTTTTTCATTTGGATTAAAACATATAAGTTCAAGCTTTTCATTTTTACATTTTATAAATAAGTCACGAAAATTAAGGAGAATTTTTTCAACATCAGAGCATATAGAATTTCCACTTGAAACCTTCATACTCCACTTTAACTTGGGTACGAATTGTGTTTTAATAATATTATTCGGGTTTTTTTTCTCAACAACATTCGCAGCGTGATTTTCTTTTTCTGCAAGTACTCATTGTATTGATTGTAGTACATCATCCCAGATGTAATTAGCAGAATTAACATCATTCTTTTAAAAAAAGAAGTTATATTAGAATCAGAACAAAATCACTTTGATTTATGAGCCAAAAGAGAATTTTAACAAATTCCTCTTCAAGAATTCTGGTCTTCTCAAAGACAAAAATGGCTAGATGTAGAGGACCACACCTCTATTGTGTCTCCGAGTCTGTTCGATGTCATCAACACACATCTAATTCGTAACTGCGTTACTCCCAATTGAGGCGCCATTGAGGCGGAGTCGACAGGGCACAAATTAACCTGACAAAAAGTCACCATCCCAAACTCTCTTTTTTACTCACTTTTTTTGTTTTCATAAGCTCTCCAATGGCAGTACGAAGTTCTTCAGGTGCGTTTGGATCTTTATCCATCACTTCTAAAGCTCTATAAAACACTTGATTTATATGTTTTTTATTTAAAAGATCAAATATCCAGGTAAGAAAGTGAGGATGATTTGCAAAGTATTTGACAAAAGGTGAATCCCATTTGTTAAATTCTTTAAGCGAAGGTAGGGTTTCTTCTGTGAATATATGCGTTGCGTTATACATTGTTGTGTCTTAATTAATCAGAACACGGATTTTGTGTTATTTGCGTTTTTTACAATTTTTATATTTTTCGCGTTTTTGTTACACAAGATACTGCAATTTTATTGGATCTAACCCCAGAATTTTCTTGACATAAGGGTAACCACGAAATGTAGAATGCGATAGATGTATAAGCACATCGCAAGGTGCGACTCGTACATTTATCTTGGGCAAAAAAAAAAATTATTTATTGCAATTATATCTTGAAAGTAATTAGATATTTAAGTGCTAAGTTACAGATTAGAGTTTAAATGTATTTGGAAAATTGCCTATATTAGAGTTTAAATTAAAATCACACAAACATCTAAAGTGCGACACTTATTATGGCGAGGCTTTATTAAGTACCTGTTAGTTATTAATAACAACTTATACATATAATCTTTTAAAATCGGTTTGAATACTTTGCTTCTTATTAAAAGAATGATGAAAATTAAATTCAATATTTAAATTCAATTGATTTAAAATTATCCGATATTCTTTGGAAATTTTTAACATGTCTAGTTTTTCAGTTTGAGGGTTTAAAATTAGATATGCTGAAATATTGTAAAGTTCACACTGTAAGAAAAAGGAAGCATTTAGTTAAAATGATTAGGAAATGTCACTCAATTAATAATATTAAGTTGCTACTCACATGACTAAGTATTGCAGCTGATAAATTACGTACAAGATTTGGTGGTTGATATATTGGAATCGAGTCATCCTAAGAGTTCATTAACAGTTGAATATTATATAATTATAATAAACTGTACAATGATTGAGTGAATATACATGCACATAAATATCATCTTACCATTTTTAGGGCGGAGCTCGAGCTCAGCACTCGACAATATGGATGAATAGGATTTTCATCATGATAATCAAATATATAAGATGAAGGATTAAAGGTATCAAAGATGACTACGCTGTTGTGTGAAGATGATATACTTTAGAAAAATTATATAAATGACAAGTATTAAGGTGTTTTAACGATGAAATAACTACCGTTCAGCTTCAATATGATTGAATAAAGTTTTAGCCCAAACAAAACATCTTTCATCTTTAATCTCATAGTTACACGGAATTAACAAAGTTTTTGGATTGGATTCCATTTCATAGATAAAACATCCTTGATTTGATACATTTTCTTGATTTAACGTATTATGAATCTTGTAATATTGATCATAAATAAGTATAAATCTTTGATAATTGAAAATAACGCAAAATACCTACCAATTCGATTTCTGGTAACAATATAGTTCCGATTAACTTTTTATTACTTGAAATTGATTCGACTAATGAATTTCCACCACCATTAATTCCAATTAATAATGTATTGGTTAGAAATTTAGTATTGTTTTTAAAGTGGGATAAACGTAAAACCGGAGGACCAAGTGAATCAATAGTTTTGTAGTCTAAGTCTTCTTCAGAATCCGAGTCATCGTATAAAAAACGCGTTGGCTGTAATTTTTCAATGTCCTACAAAATAAATAAATGTTATGAATTTGTAAATGTTTAAGCACGAAAGACACCAATAGAATCAAGACGTATACCATTTATGCGATAGAGGATAAGTTACCTGTTCGTAGTATATAATTTGATTAGATTTGATTAGATATGACTAATTGATGTTACGATTTTATTGGTCAGCAAAACAAATTGATGTACTTACCCTTGTAATTGAAATTTCAATTTTCTACGTATACGTATGCAATAGGGATCTGCAAGCTCGGCAGGTGCCCATGCCTAACAAAAGGCACAGGCATATCATAGGCACAGATGCAAAGACATCTGGCATAAAGTTAGTGGGCACTTTTGAGGCACAGGCATAAAGTGTTTGGCACATGTTGGGCACTTTGCATTATAAGTATGAACAATCGATCCTAAACTATCAGGTACTAGGGCACAAAGTGCCTGCTTCAAAGGTGCCTAAAACATTGCATGTGTGCCTACAAAATGCCTAAAACTTTTGTGCCCATGGGCACGGGCAACCTCACGAGCATTAGTGCCAGGCATGATGCCCAATATGCCCGGCATGGGCATTTGCAGAACCCTAGTATGCAAGTCAATTCTAAATACTGTTACGTAATAGTAATGCATTTCAACAAAAGTTATTAAAAATACCAAGAGTGCTATAAGTATTAATAGAGCTATTACATAGTTCTTTTAGAAATATTGGTTTTTATTAGGTTTTATAGAAATATTTGATATAGTAAACCTAGTAAACATAGATATAGTTAGTAATCGTAATCATAATGCTAATTATTTAAATAAAGAAGTGGTAATCGTGTTTTAATACACGACTAAATCATTTCACTAGAGATTTTTTATAGAAGGATCTCCGAAATTCCGGGTTGGGATGTATCGGAATCCCGGTTAGACGTTATAGACAAACGCAATAATCACTAATATAACTAGCTCTCCGACCCGGGCGCTGCTCCAGGGCGCATTCTCAATTTTTTTAGTTTTTAATTATTTCTAATTTTTATTATTTAATTTATTAAAATACAATATAGATTTTAAGTTTTGTAATAAATAGTTTTTAAGTTTTCTAGCTCTCCGACCCGGATACTACTCCGGGGGCGCATTCTCAATTTTTTTAGTTTTTAATTATTTTTAATTTTTGATATTTAAATACTAGCTTTCTGACCCAGGCGCTGTTTTGGGGCGCGTTCTCAATTTTTTTAATTTTTAATTATATCTAATTTTCATTATTTAATTAATTAGTATGTAAGTCTTAAATTATTTGTATGTTTTTACCTCATAGTTTTTATAGTCTAAGTATTTAATAGTCTTATTAATAGTCTTAAATTTTTTATATATTTTTATGTTATAGTTTTTATAGCTTAAGTATTTATTAATAGTTTTAAATTGTTTATATGTTTTTATGTAATAGTTTTTATAGTTTAAGTATTTATTAATATTTAATATTTATGTTATAAACTTATATATATTGTATCTAATCTATTAATTTTTTTTTTTTTGCTTTATTAGTAAAGAACAATTATTATCATTTTATAAGTATTAATTCTATATCGCATATATTCA